GGCAACCTGAGATAGCCTTAGATGGTACCACCTCTTGTGTACCTGCTGAGAAGCTATTATATACAGAGGCCATTGGTGCTGAGTACTTGTTTTGGGATCAAACCAGATCAACCAGGCCGAAATAGCTGGAGGTTCTAGATTGTCAGAACTGGAGGCAGCTGCCTCAAGGCCCTGTGGGAATGCTGAGGCCCAGAGTAAGGGTCGTGCCTACACTATGCCCAGCTCAGGGTTCTTGCCCCATTCCTAGACCTGGCCTATTGCCCAAATGTCGTTGCCTTTTAGTCAATGTTCTTTGGAAACATTGGTCAGTGTGGGGCCTCTTGCCCAGGAAATGGGAAATCCTGTCCAGGGTGGCACACAGACCAACATGTTGCCAACACCCCTTGGGCAAGTCCTAAGTAGGACTTAAAAGGGACTGCATGTAGGAACGGAGGGTAGATGGGACAATGGCAGAAGGTTGGCGGGTGCTCGTGCTCATAGTGGCCTTGGCAGCCATGGCCTGCGTGGCCCAATGCCATTCCAGCTATGAGGACATAGTCAACCAGGCCTTACAGATCTTCAACCATGGGCAGCACGGGAAGCCGCTCTTCGGCCTGCTGCAAACCTTCCCAGAGTCCACTTTGGTGAGTCTAATTGCCCCAGCCAGAGGAGCAAGACCAGCCTTGCAGCAACCAAGAGTATGGGCAGGAGAGGCTGTGGGCAGCAGCACCGAGTGTCCGGTGAATAGGAGCTGTTGTTACAATCATACTGTTTCATAAAGCCTCCCTTTAGGACTGGCAGCCAGATGGCAGGTAAACGCAGGGTTTGACCTAGGGATGAAATGTGGGTCTGGAGCTGGAGGAATATGCAAAAACAGTTTCAAAAGACAGACAAGAGTTAAGGGGTGTGACCTGTCCCTCTCCAGGGGGAGCCAGTGTCCCCTGCTCATCCACCCACCTTTACCTCTCTTCTTGCAGTTGGGATAAAAGGCAGACTCTTGCACTTCAACTGAATGGACCCCATACAGCTCTGAAATGCTGTTCTTTTGGGTGTTTGTTTGTTTGTTTGTTTGTTCTGGGGTATATTAATCCCAGCAGTGCTCAGGACTTATTCCTGGCTCTGTGCTCAGGGATCATTCCTGGTGGGGCTCAGGGATCTGTATGGGGTACCGGGGACTGAACCTGAGCTAGTCTTATGCAAGGCAAGTGCCCTACCTGCTATAATATCATTCTGGCCCTGAAGTGGCATTCTTTGAACAGTTTCCAAAAGCCCCTCATTCCATCAGGCTTGTCTGAGAGCTTTGGTTTGAGTAGAAAGAACAGACCTCTGCTTGGGCCTTTCCAGTTTATCACTGTCCTCTCTCTCTGCCCTGGAAGATGGAGGGTGGAAGAGAGATGATTAGAAACTTTCTCTTGCTTCTCTAGAATGCCACCAACAAGCACCTGTTCAGTTTCCGGGCTAAAGCGACCGTGTGCCAATCAAGCCAGTGGGGACAGGACCAGAACTGTGACTTTCAGGATAACGGGGTGAGCTGAAGAACCCCATCCCACCTCTGGGGAAATATGTGCCTCCCCCCCCCCCCCCGCTCCACCCCCCTGCCATGTGAGGTTTGACTGTGGAAGACCTTTTTGCTTATTTCATTGTTTGCTTTGCTTTGAGGGCCCATATCCAGTGTTGCTGAGGGGGTCTCCCAACTTTACGCTTCGGGTCACCCTTGGTGGCAAGTGATCAAACCCAAGTCCCTTGCATTCAAAGCATGAACTTAGCCCTGTTAGTTCCTACTTCCTCCAACCCTGGAAGGAAGCCTTATTAAAAGCGCCTTCACCCACTACCTGGAGAGATGGTTCAGAATGGTTCAGGTGCTTGAGTCTGATTCCCAGCACTGCAAGGCCTCCCAAGCTACCCTGGGTGTAGCCTGGTGCAGGGGTGGCACCTACAAACATTATTATTTTTCCTTGTTGCTTTTTCTTAATATAAATGATTGGAAGTCCTTGTTAGAAAAAGGAACACATGCCTTTTATTTTTAAGTACTAAATATAAAAGAGAAAGAACAAGTCAGGACCCTTAATCCATCTCAAGGTAGCTGCTTTTGGAGGGGTTTACTACTGACTCTACACTCAGGGATCATTCCTGGCGAGCTTGGGGACAATAGAGGTGCTACAGATTGAACTCGGATAGACCACATGCAAGGCAAGTGCCCTTGTCACTGTACTGTTACTCTGGCCCCACAAAGTGCTTTTTATTTATTTATTTATTTATTGGCTTTTTGGGTCACACCCGGCGACGCTCAGGGGTTACTCCTGGCTTTGCACTCAGGAATTACTCCTGGCAGTGCTCAGGGGACCATATGGGATGCTGGGAATCGAACCTGGGTTGGCCGTGTGCAAGGCAAATGCCCTACCCGCTGAGCTATCACTCCAGCCCAACAAAGTACTTTTTATAAAAATGAAGAAAATGTCATTTTATTGTAGCAGACTAAAAGGACATGGAGAAAGAAAATACAATAGAACAAAAGCTCCATCAGTCCCACTACCAAGGGACAGTCACCATTCCTGCTGATGGTTTGTCATCTGTCATTTTTTTATATATGCATTATTTTTTTCTTTTTGGGTCACACCCAGCGATGGACAGGGGTTACTCATGGCTCTCCACTCAGGAGTTACCCCTGGCGTTGCTCAGGGAACCATATGGGATGCTGGGAATCGAACCTGGGTCTGCCGTATGCAAGGCAGAAGCCTTACCCACTGAGCTATCGCTCCAGCCCCTATGCATTCAATTTTTTTTTTTTTTTACTTTTTGGGTCACACCTGTCGATGATGCACAGGGGTTACTCCTGGCTCTGCACTCAGGAATTACCCCTGGTGGTGCTCAGGGGACCATATGCGATGCTGGGACTCGAACCCGGGTTGGCCGCGTGCAAGGCAAACGCCCTACCCGCTGTGCTATTGCTCCAATGCATGTAATTTCAAACAAACCTAACTGCTCTGGGCGTGCTGACTTGTGAGGCCCTTTTCCAGTGAGTGACCACCTCCATCTGTCCTTGCTCTTCATGACTGCGCCTTACAGCCACAGTCAGGCTCTCCACGGGCTTTGGGGTGATGGCCAAGGTGCGCCTCTGGTCTGAGGAGGATGGGGAAGAGGCAATAGTGGGTCAGGGCGGGCGCATTCTCCAGAGCCAGGATTGCGGGGAACCAGGAGGAGACGTGGACACTGGGGACACTCCTATACCTGTGACCGTTCCCTCACAGGAGGAGCGAGTATGTACCGGCACCTTCTTGCTACCAGGCTCGAATATCCGCATCCTGATGGTCAACTGTGTCCCAGACCAAAGGTCACAGCTGGAGGTGAGTCTCGCACCCCAGGACATAAAGCCGCTACCCCAGTTCCCTCGACCACCACCCTTAGCTGCTTCACCTGTGTCTGTTTTCCTTCTGGCAGCTCTGCCTTAGTTTTTAAAGGATGGCCGAGGTGCCATGTCTGGGCCAATGACTTGGATGTGTGAGGTCTCAGTTTACTCATCTGGAAAATGGGACCCAAAAAGCCCTTCACAATGCAAATTGAAGGGTGGCGGGTGTGAAGTTTATGGAGTGCGGGGGCGATAGAGCTGGAGGATCACTAGGCCACTGGCAGGAGGGCAGGGAGTGGAGTCCAGGGATGGGAGCTGGGGCCAGGTTGGGAGGGACAGTCAAGGTTCTCAAGACATTGGCCCCACTCCTCATTCCACATTTGAGAAAACTGAACCCTCAGTGAAGTGTGCTGGTGGGTGAGTGGAATAGCCAGGAGAGGAGCCCTGGAGTCTGAATTCTCTGGGCTTTGAGAGAAAGTGGCCAGTGGGCACCACTTCCGGGCCCATCACTCACCTCACTGCCTGGAGTGTCAGTAGGGGCACAACAGAAACTTGGGGACACGATTGATGCTCCAGAACTACCCCCACAGGTTCCCCGGGTGAGACGTTCTGCGGGAGCCTCTGAGGAGCTGACAAGTAAGGACCTGCCACCTGCCATCAGGGACATGTACGAGAAGGCCAAGTACGATATCCTTATCAACATCCTGAGACATATCTAGGGCTGGCGAATGAGGACCTATGTTCCCACCATCTTCCATCCCTCAGGGCTCACTCCTGGCTCTGCACTCAGGAATAACTCCTAGAGGGACTTCCCGACCATAGGTGATGAGTCTGCTGTATGCATGTGCCTTACCTACTATACTATCTCTCCAACCCCAATCCATTCCGTTTTTTAATGAAAATTGTATTGGGCTATAATTGACACAATTGGACATATTCAGAATGTGCCTTTTGGAGAGTTCCACATAGTATGTACTGTGAAAAAAAAAAAACAATCACCACGGCTTGCTCTTGAGTCTGTGCTCTCCCTTGAACACACATCTGTATCTCTTTGCTTATTCCTTCTCTGGAGAAACCTGTGTTCTCTCTTGAACACATGCCGCTCTTTTCCTCTCCCCTCACATCTTTCTAAATAAGTTTCAATAAAAACTATCTTGCTTTGCAAAAAAAAAAAAATAATCACCACAATGAAGATAGTGGACACGGCCCTCATCCCCAAATTTCCTTTCACCCCCTACAGTCACAGGCCTGTCTCCCTCCTCCCCCTTTTACTCACTCCGGCTCTCCTTGGGTTACCTCTGGTTACACAGGTTCATTTGCATTTTCCAGAGCTTTAAATAAATGGAATCTACATAGACTAAATGTGTGTGTGTGTTTGTGTTGAAATCCTAACCCCCATAGGATGGTACTGGATGAACCAGTATAGAGTCCTCAGGACCCGGTTAGTGCTCTCGCCGACAAGACTGGGGAGCTCACCACCTTCCCCTTGGTTGGTTTTAGTTTATGAAATTCACTTTATTTTCTACTTTGCTGTTGTGAAGAGCAGGCTTACGTATGTCAGGTTGTAGTGCTAGCCGGATGTCATACCTCTTTAGTTATGGTGTGCAAGCGCGCACACGCACACACACACACAACCTTGGCTGTGGGGTGCATAGAAATTGCTCGTAGTCCCGCACCCTGCATCATGGCGCTGCGAGCCGCGTGGAGCGTGCGGGCAGCCGTCCGCTGCCTGCACGCCACGCGCGTCCGGGCCTGGGCCCCGCGGGCGGGTGCCGCGCGGACCCTGGGCGCTGGCGGGGCGCTGCGGGCCGTGCGAAAGTTCACAGACAAACATGAATGGATCACAACGGAAAACGGTATCGGAACAGTGGGAATCAGCAATTTTGCACAGGAAGCTTTGGGAGACGTCGTTTACTGTAGCCTGCCTGAAGTCGGGACGAAGCTCAACAAGCAAGATGAGTTTGGTGCTTTGGAAAGCGTGAAAGCTGCTAGTGAACTCTATTTGCCTTTATCAGGAGAAGTAACTGAAATTAATGAAGCTCTTGCAGAAAATCCAGGACTTGTCAATAAGTCTTGTTATGAAGATGGTTGGCTGATCAAGATGACACTGAGTAACCCTTCAGAACTAGCTGAACTGATGAGTGAAGAAGCGTATGAGAAATACATGAAATCTATTGAGGAGTGAAAATAAACCAGTATGAAAACACGTAAAAAAGAAAGAAATTGCTTGTAGTATTGGATTTCAGACCATAGAGCTACCAGGATTGTGCTTGGTGTGCGTGGTGATACCGGACATTGAACTTGTGGCCTTATGCTGGCACTGCTGGTACTAGTAACCCACTGAGCTAGGCCCCCCCCCCCGCCCAGGTCTCCCACTCTAACCCCTGACCCCCTTCCTTGGCCCTTTTGCCATGGAGGACATACAGTGTGGACTGCCTTCTAGAAGCCAGGAAGTGGGCTTTCACTAGACACATCTGTAATTCTGGTACACCCCAACCAAACGTGCACCCACACACTGCCACAGCAACAACAAAGGGAAGGGAAAGTAAAGAAGAAAAACAAAACGAGTCTATCCAGTTGTCTCTTCAACTGAACTGTTGGATCTAACAGAAGCAGATGTTCTACACAGAACCAAAGAGAGCGCTCTGCTTGCAATGAAAGGGCTGTTTGTCCCCAGATCTTCCATCCCTGGGGCCACACATCTTTTCTGCTATGGAAGCTGTCTGACTTGTCTCCCCAACAATTCCAATAGGAGACCAGGGTCCAAGACCCTGGGGAACCACTTGAGGGATCTGCATGGGAGGTAGGGATTGATCAGTAGCTTCACTATTTCACGCTTCTTGCTGTGCTAGCAATGGACAGTAGAGGGTGCAAGGGCGCAGCACGGAGATTAGCTAGGAGGCCATCACCGGGAAGGTGGGTGCAGAGAGAGAGAAGCAGAGATCACAGAACTTGGTCCAGATTTGGTCGATGGAGAAGATAGAGTCGAATGACTCATCCCTTGTTCCCTCCCAAGCCTACCCGAGATTAAGTGAGTAACAGGAGGATATGAGTACTATTGAGAGTGGGGACATCCAGTGGTGACATTGGGGCATATTCAGGTGAAGAGGTGACTCTGTGCCAACCCAAAGATAAGACCCCAGATGCCTTCCTCACATAGCAGAAAGGGTTGAGCTCTGAGTGAGGCCTCTTATCATTGGAGGTTAGAAAGAGGCAGAATGGGCACTGCAAGAGTGGATGGAGAACAGAGAGGATCTCTGAGGCAAGGAGAGGGGAGCCTCTGCAGACCAGGCAGGGCGTGCGGGGCAGGGGCTTGTGACGATTTAGCACCCTTAGGCTGTCACTGTAATCCCGCTGGTGGGCCAGAAGGAATGAAAGGCTTCCTTGGTAGGAAGCTTGTCACAGTGTGGTGAGCAGTGGTTAGCACAGGGAAGGGACCACTATGACAATGATAGAGGGAAGTGGTAACTGTGGATGAGGACTATGCTGAAAGGAGATAAAGTTATATGCATGATACCCTCTTGGTAACAGTACTGCTAACCACAGTGCCTAAAAGAAAAACGAAAAAAGGAAAAAGTGCCTGCCAGAGAGGCAGGCTAGGGGTGGGAGGGAAAATGGGGACTTTGGCAGAGGGAAGGACAACTCGTGAAGGAATGGGTGCTCAGACATTGTATGCCTGAAACTCAATGATGAATTTTGTAATTCATGGTGATTAAATTTAAAAAAGACATAATATCCAGGGGTTGGAGTGATGGCACAACGGGGAGGGCATTTGCCTTGCACATGGCTGACCCGGGTTCAATTCCCAGCATCCCATATGGTCCCCTGAGCACTGCCAGGAGTAATTCCTGAGTGCAGAGCCAGGAGTAACCCCTGTGCATTGCCGGGTGTGACCCAAAAAGCAAAAAAAAAAAATGAATCAGGTGCAGAAGAGAAAGACCAGTGGGTAAGGCACTTGCCTTGCATATGGCCGACCTGTGTTCAGTCCCTAACATCTCATATGGTCGCCTGAGTTCTACCAAGAATAATCCCTGAGAACAGACACAGGAGTAAGCCCTGAGCACTGCTAGATGTGGCCTCAAAATAAAACACAAAAATAAAACCACAAAACCGTATGAGTCAATACTATTTTAAGCATGTGACCCAAGTGATAATTCATTTTCATTTCATTTCATCATCCTGTTATTCGTCGATTGCCTCGAGCAGGCCCCAGTAACGTCTCTTTCATCCTAGCCCTGAGATTATATTCAGGGCTATTTAGGAGAATGAGACCCATCATTGTTACTGGTATTTGTCATATTTGGTATGCCACGGGGAGTTTGCCAGACTCTGCCCTGTGGGCAGGCTACATTCGATAGCCTGCAAGTTTGTCCAAAGTAGGAATGAGACAATAAGATGTCATTTAAAAAGTTTTGATAAGATGTCGCGCGGCCGCGAATGCGGCCGTGCGGTTCCGGGATCTGGATTTTATAGTCTCTGAGTCTTGGCCGCTGATGGGATTACACGGCGCCAGGGGGCCAGGTGGTGGGTTTGACCCCCGCCTACTGGAATTTGGAGGATCTGGGTGGAAGATGCTCGACTCCAATTCGAGTAGGCTTGGAGGTCTCGGCCCCGGAACCCGCGTGGCTTTGTCCCTCTGCCAGTACCTTCATGTGTGCGGAGAGATAATAAGTGATAATAAGTTGTTTTTTTTTTAAATGTTTTTTTTTAAATGTTTGCTTGAGAGAAAACCTGGGGCCATTGATGGAGAGGTGGGGTTATGTGGGAACACTGCATGCCTGAAACAGTATTGTAAACAACTATGTAAATCACAGGGTCTAAAAACAAAACCAAAGTGAGAATGCTAAGGAGGTGGGGAAGAAGGAAGAAGAACCTTGGTTCATGGGTGGAGGGAGACTGACACTGGTGGTGGATTTTGAGCTGGAACCTTGGATGCCCAAAACCTTGGTATTAACAGCTTTGTAAATGAGTCCCTAAACTGAAAAAATATAAGAACTTTTATAATGCGAAGAAACTACTAAGAAAACAAAGAAGGGCTGGAGAGAGATTAAAGGAGGTAAGGCATTTGCCTTTGCAAGAGCTATGTTGGCCATGATCCTGGTTCAAATCCTGACACCAAAGATGATTGGCCACTTGAGCACCAGGCAAAGAGCCAAAATAGTGCCCCCTGAGAACCCTGGGTATGCTCCCCCCAATAAAAACATCAAAGGAAAAAAATGAAAAGATAAACCATATTCCGGGAGCAGCAGAAAATATTTGTGAATCACAGACCTAAAAAAGAACTTGTATCCAGAATATGTCAAGAATTCTTACAAACTCATTAAGACATTTGGTCCAATTTTAAAATGGAAAATGTTTTAGTAGATATTTGATTTAATATACATGTCTAATAAGCACATGAAAAGATGCTCAAAACCATTAGTTGTTAGAGAAATGTTAGCTAAAAGCACAAGATATTACTTAAATCCACTAGAATGGCTAGAATCAAAATGAAAGACAATTCCATGAGTTGACTAAGATATAGAGAAGCCAGACCTTCAGACATGGCCGATGAGAGTGTAAATGGTACAGCTACTTTGAAAAAGTTGGTCAGTTTCTAAAAATGTTAAACATAAACTTAGTATATGGAATTACCCAGCATTTCTATTCCTAAATTCTATCCTAAAACAATATGGACATTCCTTCAAAAACTAGTAATTGAGCTTCCATATGACCCTGCAATACCACTTCTGGGAATATATCCTGAGGGTGCAAAAAAGCACAGTAGAAATGACATCTGCACCTGTATGTTCACTGCAGCACAGTTCACAATAGCCAGAATCTGGAAAAAACATGAGTGCCCGAGAACAGCCAACTAGTTAAAGAAACTTTGGTACCTCTGCACAATGGAATACTGCACAGCTGTTAGGAGAGATGAAGTTATGAAATTTGCTTATAAGTGGATGGACATGGAGAGTATCATGCTCAGTGAAATGAGTCAGAAAGAGAGGACAGACATAGAAGGACTGCACTCATTTGTGGAATATAAAATAACATGAGATGGACATCCAAGGACAGTAGATACAAGGGCCAGGAATGTTGCCCCCATAGCTAGAAGCCTGCCTCATGAGTTGGGGGAGAAGGCAGCTGGAATAAAGAAGGGATCACTAAATCAATGATGGTTGGGGCAATCGTTCAGGATGGGAGATGTATGCTGAAAGTAAAGAACCAAACATGATTACCTCTCAGTATCTGTATTGCAGACCATAATGCCCAAAAAATAGAGAAAGAGTATGGTGGAAATTGTCTGCCATGGAGGCAAGGTGAGGGTTGGAAAGAGGAGGTATACTGGGAACATTGGTGGTGGAGAATGTGCACTGGTGGAGGGATGGGTATTTGATCATTGCATGAATGAAACTCAAACATGAAAGCTTTGTAACTGTATCTCATGGTGATTCAATAATAAAAAATAAAAAATAAATCTCTATCCTAAAGGACTGAAATATAGCCAATATGTTCAGAAGGGTTTATACATAACAGTTCCAAAGTAGGAACAATCTAAATATCCATCAACTGCTGAGGGAGGGCAGGAAATGAATACATAACGTGACCTGTTCATATTGGGGAACACTGTTCAGTAAAGGGAACAAACCACCGATACATTCTACAACATGGATAACACAAAAACAGACACAAAGATTCCATAGGATATGTTTCTTGAATACTAAATATCTAGGAGGGACAAATTGTTGGGTGCTAAGGGTTAAGACAGAAAAAGACATGATGTGGGGTTGGGGTGATAGTACAGTGGGTAGGACACTTGTGTTGCCTGTGTTTGATCTTGATTTGATCCCCACATATGGTCCCCGGAGTCCCACCAGGAGAGATCCCTGAGTGCAGGGCCAGGAGTAAGCCCTGAGCACTTCCTAGTGTGGCCCCCAAACCAAAACAAAACAAAAAAAGAAAAGAAACGACAAGATGGGTGGTTTATAGCACCTTTAGATGAAAGATTGCTGTGTCTGAAGCTTAATGCTGCCCTAGTCGGGGATCCTTTCACTGTTCTATCTCTGCTCCCCCTTTTGGGCCCAAACCTGGAGATACTCAGGAGTCACTCAGGAAATCTCAGGGGTTACTCCCAGCTCTTAGGAATTAGTCCTGGCAGTGCTGGGGGATCATGTGAGATGTCAGTGATCGAACCCAGGTTGGC